GACAGGGGTCAATTCAGTATATATATGGTGTAAGAGCACCCTAATTCTCCTTTATACGTTCTAGATAGTTTAATGAACTTTCCATTATCTAATTATATGCTCGTACGTACTCTATGGTCCGTCATAGTTATGAGCCCGGTTAGTATATATATAATTCTACTATACTATACTGTAAACTATGTATACAACACTATCCTTTAAAAATAAGAATATATAAAACGCTATTAAGACCTACTCACTATAATAAAGCTTATTAACCAAAGCTTTTGGACCAATTAGTATCAAGAGCTTCGAATGAAAGTAAACTTATAAGGTAATTGGCATTTGATCGACCTAGAAGCAAAGGACACTATCTTTCTTATAATGAAAGCTTGTCTTTTGATGACTTTAGAGGAATATACTATCAGTTTGAATATGTCTATACTTAAGGAGTACTCTATAAAGCTTATAGAATAGGTAGAGAGTATGATATCTTAAGAGGAAAGAGAATCTACGTTTATTAAGCTTGCTATAATAATAAACAAGCAAATAAAGAATGATTATAGTATTTACTTGAAGATTTATATAATAGGTGAGATAAAACGATCAAACAAGAGAGAGAAATACTAAACTGTCTATAATTGAATCAGAAAAACGGTGGTAGTAGAATTCTACTCTTTTACGAGTATGAAGCTAAGTATATAAAAGACTAAGCCTATATTATAGACGATTATATAAGACTTAAAACAAAGGCTTACCTCTTTATATTCAAGTATTCTAACAATAGTGAAGAAAACATATAATAAAACGTTTATATAAGCAAAGCTTAAAGGATAATCTCTAGAGTATTGGCTTTAAGATTGAGAGTAGGCTTACCTTATTGGCGAAGCTTATTAGATTCTAAAAGTTTAGAGGGCGATTATCGTAAGAGCCTTTTTAGAAGCGATTAGTCTTTAAATTCACTTAGAATAGACTAAAGTAAAGTTAGACGACTTTATAATTGATAAAGCGATAAGCCAACCAACTCACTTTCTATAATAGTATAGTAAAGCTCTTTAAGTAGTTTTTAACGTACGGACGAGCTTGCTAAAGGTAGGAAATTATCTAATAGTATAAGAGAATGTAAGTAAGAAGACTAGCAAACAGACTTTAAAGCATTTATCAAACAAAGAAGCTTATGATTATCCTTGCTTTAGCGAAAAAGGAAAAATACACTGTTAAAGGCCTTCTAAGTATACTATCCTACGCTAGGTGATCATTAGAATCCTCTCTTTAAAGAGGATAAGGACTGAAAGCAAAAGTAAGGATAAGCTTATGATAATTTGTATAAAGCTTTAATATTCTCGATTTAAGGATGTCTTAAATAGCCTGAAAGGCTAAGAATGGTATAAAAAGGTATAAACAAACAAAGGTGATAAGTAGGGCTTTTCAGCTTGGCTAAGGCTAATAGTAGCTATAATCATTGATCCACTATTCTTCAAACGAATTGGAAGCTTTCTAAGAGTATATTCAGTGCTTTCAAACCGAAGGTACCTACTGGCAGACTTTATACTATTCGACAATTATAGAGTAGTATATATAGTGAACGCTAAGGACTTACTACTATCTGATTCGATTATATCTATCGACCCTATCCTACTTAATGTTAGAATAGGATAATGTACGATCATAGTATATAGGATTAAGATGATTATAAAGGTCTTTAATAGAGTATAAAGAAAGAGGATGGAAGATCTTACTTTTAAGGAGGTTATATTAGTAGAAGGATTCTATATAAATATAGTCTTTAAAGCTTGCCTTTTGGAAAAGAAAGTCTAGATAGTTAGAATTGATAGCTTACTATAGATTAGAATGCTTGAAAATAGTAGGAAAATTATATAACTAGAATATTATTTTAACTTTATATTCTTTAAATATAAGCCTATTTTCTTTTATTCTAAAGTATATTCTATCTTGATAAGCTTTATAAGATTGTTCTTAACTGCAAAAATTAGACTGAAGAAAATAGTATAAAGGTCTTTATTAGCTTATCTATAGTTGAGAAGCAACTTAGAGCTTATCTAATATCTATAAGTAGAATATTTAGGCTAGAAAGCTCTAAAAGTATTGGTAATAAATGTAAGGAACGTACGAATTTATAGCAACATACTCTTAAGGTATGAATCTTATACTCTCGTCAGAATAATATAAGTGATATCATATACTCTTTTGGAAAATCAAGTATTTTGTCTTTTCTATTATGTTAGCTTTGATCTATTTGACTTTCTTAAAGGATAATTTGATGATTGTTGGCTACTGATAATTAAGGAAGAATACTTTGAAAAGTTTAAAGCAACGTCTTTACTTGATAAATCGCTTACGTCAACTCTATCGATTATATAAAAGTATGAAAGTAAGGTAACTAGACAGTATCGGCTTATAATAATAGCAATTCGTTAAGACTAGGATACTAGAACGATTGTTATCAATAGGGAATCAGCTTTCTAATGCTAGTATAAGAAGCTTAGAATATAAAATAAGCTTACTTCTACCTTAACTTATGAGCCAAATGGTGGAAGCAAGTAGGCTGGGAAAGAGATTATAGTAAAGGCAATAGCTATGCTTTAGAAAGTAAAGCTACCTAATTCTCTGTAGGTAGAAGCTTGTCAGACTGTAGCATAGCTATATAATAGAAGCCTTTATCATTAAAACACTCTTTACTTACTAAATAAGGTGCTTGATCTTTAGTTTAGATAGTTGTAACAGGCCAGATAGATAGTCTATTCAACT